GTGGTTCAAAGCCAGCCTGGGCAGGAAAGTCTGTGAGACTCTTATCTCCAATTAACCACCAGAAAACCAGAAGAGGCGCTGTGGCTCTTGTGGTTGAGCGCTCTCCTTGAGCTGAAGAGCTGAAGGACAGCGCCCACACCCAGAGTTTCAGCCCCATGGGTGACAAAACAACAGCAAAATAACCTGTGGGTCATGGGCACTATCCTGCTGCCGGGTGGAAAGGAACCCTTCTTTCCCTCTCACACCACATCATACTCTCCCCAACCTCCTCCAGCTCCAGGCCACATGCAATGTCCACCAGTCCGCCTTCAACGACTGGTTCAGCGGGCATCTCAACTTCCAGATTGAGCACCAGTGAGTGGGGAGGGGAAGCAAGCGTGGTCTGGGGGGGGGGGTGAGGGGGGAGGGATGGACACCAGCCACTGACTTCCCTCTCCCGCCCTCCTGAAGCCTCTTCCCCACAATGCCCCGACACAATTACCACAAAGTGGCACCCCTGGTGCAGTCCCTGTGTGCCAAGTATGGCATCGAGTACCAGTCCAAGCCTCTGCTCTCAGCCTTTGCCGACATCGTGCAGTGAGTACTGGCTGGCCAGAGGGGGCCAGGGGTGGGGGGGAGATGTTGCCTGTGGGGGGAGGTGACAGGAAGGTGACAAAGGCAGGTCAGGGCCTGCTGTCTGGGGCTGTCGAGTGGCATGGCCCACGTCACAGGGCTTCTCCACTGCTGGTGGGCTCTGTTCCACCTGCTGACTCACTGTCCACCCCTGTGTGCCTGCAGCTCATTGAAGGAGTCGGGGCAGCTCTGGCTGGACGCCTACCTTCACCAGTAACAGACCCCTTGGTGTGGAAGAGACTGAAGCCAAAGCAGAGGGAGACTCGAGGGACTCAGCCACTGGTTCTTATGTTCAGAGGGGGGTGGTGGGTTCGGGGACAGAAAGGTCTGTGCTCAGACCTCACCCCTTTGCCTGCGAGGCACAGATCTATGACTAGCGGGGTGTGGGGACACTTGCAACAACTCCCCGGAGGAGTGTAAGTCTGTTGAATTGTTTCTTTTCTTCTTTTGGTGGTGGTATTGGGGTTGTAACTCAGGGTCTCGTGCTTGCAAGGCAGGCACTCTACCACCTGAGCAAAGCCCAGGATTGTTTTTCTCCACTTTGGTAATATGCAGTTCGTGAGCAAAGGGTAAAAGGGGAAGGGGTTCAGAAATTCCTGAGCCCAGTGTCAGGCAGATGTACCCCAGAACTCATGTAAAGGGGGCATGTCTCCCTCTCCTCCCTCCCCCCTAACTTGCTAACCTGAGACTGAGCAGCTGAATGTTTATAGCAAGATCTAGAAAGGCTTTGAAGCATTCATGTGTAGAATTTTGAGTCTTGACCCAACTTCCCTGTCTGGGAACTCAGTCACTACCCTGGGCAGGTGTCACCCACATCTGGCTGGGGTTGCCAGAAGCCATTTTCCAGCCTTAGAAGCAGGTGGGGCAAAGACCAGGAGTGTGGTTTGGGAGTCATTCAGCTGATGATCCTGGCACTACTGGTTTTGCTCTCGTGTTGCATCTGGTTCCAGAGGGAATGGCAGGCATGTTCTTTTGCCAAGCAGATGGTAGAGTCACTGGGAATGAAAAATCCCCTTGATCCACTTCTAACCTTTGCTTAGAACAGACATCTGTCAAGACTGGGAGAATGCTCCTAGCAAGGAGAGGGGAAGAGTTTTCTTCCTCCCCAGAAACAAATGGGGCTCCCCTTGTTTCCATTTGCTGCCCAACCTGTAATTCCAAGTTTAATAAAATAACAGTAAGCACAAGTAAGAAAAGTTTATGACTTTTTGTCATAAAGTCCAAGTGTAAGGGCGGTAAGCAGAAACAGTTTTTATCTCCTAAATTATAGCGTTACTAGGAGTGTTGGGTTAAGCAAACTACTTCCTAGTTGTACTAAGTTTAAACACTGGTTTGTGACTGTCGCTGTAGTCAGAGGTCTCTGTCCACTCTCGCTCAGTATCTTATTCTGGAGACCAGATAGGAATTTAGGATAGCCTTTTCCAAAGCATATCTGTCTAACACTAAAATAGTCTGCCTAATCTTCCAGTCCAGAAAGATAAGGAACGTCTCTCCCCAAAGAGCACACATAGGAATGTGCCTCGAGTCTGACCTAACTCCCAGGGGCCCAGTATCAGCAACCACTCTCCCCTGCACCCCAAATTCCACAGCCTTACAGTCCAGGTGAAGATATTTCTTTGCCTGTTCAAACAATCTAAGCTTGTTAACTATGAGAAAAGTAGAAAAGAACAGGCTAGAAGACAAAAGCAGAGCCATCTTGAGTTTTGTAGGTAACGGGCAGGCAGTTGGGATGGAAGTGACAGAGTCAGCATTGGGCACGAGGCTGCCGGAGTTAGACATCTGACAGAACCGGGCATGGGACAGCGGGTGGCAGAAGAGTTCGTCTTTGCTGAAAGTTGGCCCTGCAATTGGTTTGCAATAGGCTGGGTAGAAAAATTAGAAGCAAAACTGAACAATTGTGCTTTCATTGGATATTTCCCTCCAGAACAGGTGCTCATCCCTCCACATTCCTGTTCCCTGCCACCTGGGGTGTCAGTGGGGCCACCAGCCTGCCATGCCAGCTAGCTCTGGCGCAAGCCACCAGTCAGAGCAAACACTAGTGCACCTGCTCTACTGTGCCAAGACCAGGTCTTCAAAGCACCTAAACCACTGAGGCCTTCCCGGCGGCCTTCACCTGCGTGGCCTCAGATGGCCACAAGGGCCATGGAATAACGAAAGACTAAGAATGGTGAAGTGGGCAATCTCAGATGGACTGCAGAGGAGAATAGGATTCAAGAGAAAAAGCTGACCCTGGGTCATAGATGGTGACGGGACATTGCACTCACCTCAGTTTTAGAACTCTGATTTCTGAAACTATTTTTAATGACTTTACCCTTTTTGCTATCTTGAGGTGTTTTCTTTAAATTGGATCCAATGTCAGTGTCTTCTCTGTGTTAGTGTTACCACTTATCCTGATGAAGCTAAAAAAAATTAGTTAATTTTGACCAAATAAAAACTATTTGTTTAAAAATCCATGCTGCTTGTTGCCATGTTCCCTAGATTTCTTGTGTTCACCTGTGTGTTTCTTTCCAAACAACCATCATCACCCCAAAGCCCCTTCTGGAAGCCTTATTATGGGTAGAGTGAGGACCAGGACTCTCCATGCCAACACATAGGTCAGAAGCAAAGACATGTCCTTCTCCTAATATCTGTAGGAACTGGACTGCTTAGACCCCCTTGCCAGCTTTCATGGGCATCACTGCCTCCTCCACATGCTCACCCTGTCAACGTTTCCAGTTTGTGTGGTTGGTTTCCCTACGTCCTACTTGCCTTAATCTTTGCAAACACAATGACTCCACAGCAGTGCCTACTAAAATAGCTTTGAGCAAAAACAATGGAACCTTTCTAGGCAGGTGTGATCCTGCAGGGAACCTGTGCAGAGCTATAGGTGAACAGACTTTTAGAAGACCAAGCAGTTCCAGTTTAAGAAAAAGTACTGCCAGTTGGCACTGCTGTGCTGAGGGGGTGATGTCTGATCTCCCCTTAGTGCCCACCACCATTACTACAGGTTTATACCCAAATAACCTGAGTCAGAAAATGGAGCTTAAGCTGGCTATCAGTGGCTCACACCTAGCTGCTCAGGAGGCTGAGATCTAGGGATCATGGTTCGAAGCCAGCTGGGGCAGGAAAGTCCATGAGGCTAATCTCCAGTTAACCACTATTTAAAAAATAGGAAAGGAAGCAGTGGCTCAAGTGGTATAGCACTGGCCTTGAATGAAAAACCTACAAGAATCCGGGTCTGGAGTTCAAGCTCCAGTACTCTCACCAAAAATTAATTAAAAATTCTAAGTACAGAGCTGGGACTGTGGCTTAGTGGCAGAGTACTTGCCTAGCATGCACGAACCCCTGGGTTCAATTCCTAAGTACCACATACACAGAAAAAAGCCAGAAGTAGTGCTGTGGCTCAAGTGGTAGAGTGCTAGCCTTGAGCAAAAGAAGTGTAGACAGTGTCCAGGCCCTGAGTTCAAGCCGCAGGACTGGCAGAAAAAAAATTCTGAAGTACAAGTGACCCAAGTTCCTGCCCTGGGTAGAATGTATCTCTTGGAGGACTTCAATCTTGTTACAGGGCCATTGTTGAGAAACTATCCTGCGTTAGCTAAAGTTCATCCTGAGGTTTTACCTAAGGTTTCACTTGGACAATTGTTTCCTTCACTAAAAGGTTAGAAACCAAGCCAGGTGCCGGTGGCTCACACCTGTAATCCTAGCTATTCAGAGGGCTGAGATCTCAGGATCGTGGTTCAAAGCCAGTCCAAGCAGTAAAGTCTGTGAGACTCTTAGCTCCAATTAACCACCAGAAGACTGAAGTGGCTGTGGCTCAAAATAAATGTGCTAGCCTTAAGCAAAAGAGCACAGAGAGAGTGCCAAGGCCCCAAGTTCAAGCCCACAATTGATAAAAACCACCACCAAGATCAGGAACCAATGGTGTTAGTTTTTTGTGCACTGGATGTCGACACACATTTTGGACTGTTAATTCCCTTCAAACAGCAATGATACTATGTTCGAAAACAAAAACAACTAGAAGCTAGCTCCCCACCAAACTCTGAGGACTAAAATTTTCAAAACATTCATTTCTAGGAAACTGACCTGAATTCACATATCACAGACTGGTTTCTGAATGGGAGTCTAACTTAGAAACTGGCAAAATAAATGCTGTTAGGAGCTGGTTGATGTAAATTACAAAGCTTTCCCAAAGGAGCTTCTTTACCTCACCAAGTAGGTGGGACATTAGAAATCAACTTATTCAAATTCCGCTCAGCAAAATAAACTAGGCATCCTCTAAAGGACGCACAACTGCCACAGCAATTGTGTGGGGCACAGCGCCACCTCGTGGTCACTCTCAAACTGCCTATGAATCCCAACCTATCTTATTTTAGAAGGGCAATATAAAAGTCCTCAAAGAATAGGACATCTGACAACTAATGCAATTTTATTTATTTTTCTCTTCCTATCTTCAAAACAAAAACAGCACATGCAAACCAACGTCTTATCCCGAGGTTTCAACTCAGCAGATGCCTCAAAGAGGCCACAGAACATTTACTCCTCTGAATAGCAAGTTCAAGTTTCTGCTCAACTCAGCCACTGTAAGCCAACCTTTATTACCCATGACAGACTACTGTGCTCTGCTTGTCTCTTGTTTTCTGCGATCTGCTAGACTAGGACCTTCTTGAGGGCTCTTTGAAGGCAGGTTGTAGATGAGAAAGAAGCAGGCACGTTCTGCCATCCCTTCCCATCAGCCACAGCTGGCCAACCAGGAAGGCCTCTCCATATACTCATGCCTGTTTAGCTGTCTTTTTTCTTTAAAACTTTTCATGTAACAACGGGTCCAGTGTCCATTAAGCTGCCTGAGAAGTGGCTTGAGCCTAACACACTTTCCTGAGCTAAACCAAGAAAATAAAATAAAAAGCACTCCGTGGCCTTCCTGCCATAAAATCAAGTGAAAAGGGGGGAAAAATGCATTTGAGAAGGGTAGCACTGGCAAAGCAATGGGATCCCCTCCCCGCCCCATGGAAGGTGCTAGCTCTAGCTCTTGGGAGGGTCTAAGGCAGACATTCTGGGGTTAAAGAGGGACGATGTGGGAGATACATTTATTTTCCCCTTTTAAACTTCCCCGCTGCCCCAGTCTTGGCCTTCTTCTTCGCAGCCCCCTTGGGTTCTGGCTGCTTACGCTTAGCTGAGGAGAGAGAGCCGGTGACCTTGAAGAAATCGTCCAGGCGGCCCTGGGTGCTACCTTGGCGGCTCTTGCTCAGCCGCTTGACCCCACTGCGGATTCGATCCTCAGAGAACTGCTTTTCACCACACATGAACTTGACCAGCTCTTCTTCATTTGGCTCACTCCACTTCAGCTCCACAGACTCTGCATCCAGGACCTCAGGTTCCAGGAAGAGCTGCTGGGCCTCCTTGTGGAGCCAGTTTTCCGGCACAGGGTATTTGTTGGGGTCAAGCCGCCGCACGATCTCCTCGATGCTCTTGTGCTTCTGGATGAGGTCTACAGCCCGCTTGGGCCCGATGCCCCGGATGCTCTCACAGTAGTCGCTGCCCAGCAGGATGCACAGATCCACAAACTGCTCCTGGTTCAGACCCAGCTCCTGCAGAATCCGGTTCAGGTGGAATTCCTGGATGGGCAGCTTCTTGGCCTCGCTGGCTGTCAGGTGTCGCATCAGCACAGGGCTGCCGAACGTGAGGCAGTCCATGTCTTCAGTGGCCGCAGCGTAGACCTTGCCGGCTTTCACCAGGGCAGCACAGCTGGCCTCTGCCTCGCTGGGGGCATCCAGATATGGGATTCCCATGAGGCTCAGCAGATGCTTGCACTCATCGTTGTGCTGCTTAGTGACCTTCACTAGCCGTTTGGTGAATTTCTCTACCTCTTCCTCGGCCCCGGCCGCCTGAGCCTCCTGCAGCTGCCTCTCTGCCTCAGCTCGCCGCTCACCGCGTTTGGCCAGCTCGCCTGACTTGAGCTGCGGTGGTTTGCCGTCAAAGACGTACACCGGCTTGATGCCGTTCTCCATCATGCGGATGGTACGGTAGAACATGCCCATCAGGTGGCTCGTGGTCTCCCCCTCCTCGTTCTGGAGTACATCCCCACCCTGACGAACAGCGATCAGGAACTGATAAATGCTCATGGAGGCATCAATGGCCACTTTGCGGCCAAAGTAGCTCTTGATGTCATTCTCCCGGATGGCACTGGGGGCCACATCGGCAATTAGTTTGGCCAGACCTTGAATTCCCATGGCAACACAGAGGGGTCGCTACAAAACAGATGAGCAAGAGAACTTTAAGGATACAAAAGGAGCAAGGGCTATAAATGGTGCTATCCCATCAACTTCACGTCTAATCAAATTTATCACTCCCTCTCTGCCCCCCCAAAAAAGGCACCAAGCCAACAAAGCAGATGAGAGGATGAACAAGACCAGACCCCTTATGCTCAAGATACTTACACTTTAGCAGTCACTCAGTACTAAGGCTTACTAAGAACAGAAACTGATTTGGGTGCTTAGAGGAATGAGATACTGTTTTCAAGTTCATTCTTTAAAAAACTCCAAAGGTTTCGGGCTGGGAAGGTGGCTCAGTGGTAGAGCACTTGCCTTGCATGAATGAGGCCCTGGGTTCGATTCCTCAGCACCACATAAGCAGAAAAAAGCCGGAAGTGGCACTGTGGCTCAAGTGGTAGAGCACTAGCCTTGAGCTGAAGAGCTGAGGGACAGCACCTAGGCCCAGAGTTCAAGACCAACACAAAACAAAACAAAACAAAAAACTCTAATGAGAAATCTAAATCCATGGGCTGGGAAGGTGGCTCAGTGGTAAGAGCGCTTGCCTTGCATGAATGAGGCCCTGGGTTCGATTCCTCAGCACCACATAAGCAGAAAAAAGCCAGAAGTAGTGCTGTGGCTCAAGTAGTAGGGCACTAGCCTTGAGCTGAAGAGCTGAGGGACAGTGCCCGGGCCCAGAGTTCAGCGCCCAAACTGGCAAAATAAATAAATAAAAATAAAAAACTTCAAAGGTTTTGTAGACAAGGCGATGGCATACACCAGCATACTGCTACGTAAGTATGCACCAAGGACAGGAAGAGTTCATGGTTCAGCATTAGCAGTCCAGGGACCTTAATGGTAGAGCTCAGCCCTAAAGAACAGCATTAGTATCAGTTAAGCAAATTCAATGTGTATGGAAATTGTTTCCCTAGGAAGCTCTGACTGATAAAGCATCCTCAAGGGATTAGCAAGAACAACATATCTGAATGGGGAGGGGAGGGGTTGTCTCATACACTGCTTTTATTATCCTCAACATCCCCTTTTGTTTATTAGAGTCCTGACTTTTATTAGGATGTTCCTGGGAATTCCCTTTGTATTTTCTCCCCACCACAGTGCAAATATGGTATCATGGTAATTACACTACCCCACCCAAGGCTCTGATTTAGGGGCTAGTATGCTGTGGTCATTCAGCATTTCCGTGGCGCAGGCCCTCTACCAAATCTTTCTTTGAGAAGTCCTTTCCTGGGCTGGGAAGGTGGCTTAGTGGTAGAGTGCTTGGCTAGCATGCATGAAGCTCTGGATTAGATTCCTCAGTACCACACAGATTTTTTTTTTAAAAAAGAACTTTCCAAAGCACACTCACAATTTTTGCCAATTACAACCAAAATGTGAATTTTTATTCACTATACATTTTCTTTAAATGAACAACTTTGTGTGTGTGCACACTGGTATTTGGAGCTTGAACTCAGAGCACTACACTTTTGCTTGGCTTTTGTTCAAGGTTGGCACCCTACCACTAGAGCCATGACTCTACTTCCAACTTCTTGATGGTTAATTGGAGATGAGTTTCTTGGATTTGTCTGCCTAGGCTGGTTTTGAACAGAGATCCTCATATCTCAGCCTCCTGAGTAGCTAGGCTTCAGACTTGAGCCAGTGGTGTCCTGAAAACACAACTTTTTTTAAAAAATGAAAATAAGTTTTAAAAATCCACATTGTTAAGTATGTAACCTAGTAAAAAGGATTTTCCAGTGTGCAACTTAAAGTCATTTTGTACTCTAATGGCACGTGCCAATATATCAATTGTTTCCACTCTTCTCTCTCAGCTTTAATTTTCTTAAAACTTTTTTGCTTCTGAGGATTGAACTACTTCAGTTGCAAGTGCTCTTACCATTTTCAAGCACACTACCACCAGTCCTCCACAGGGCTCTCCCTTACTGAATGAGGACAAAGACTGCGGAAAGTTCTGTCTCTTGGTCATTACACCTGACTTTAGGATCCCAAAAATAAATGTTTTGCAGCTGGACACTGGTGGCTCCCATCTTTAATCCTAATTACTCAGGAGGCTGAGATCTAAGGATGGAAGTTCAAGGCCAGTCTAACAGAGACTCAGCTCCAACTAACCAACAAAAAGCAGACAATGGAGCTGTGGTTCAAGGAGAGTACCAGCCTTTACCTTAAAGCTAAGGAGCAGCACCTAGGCCCTGAATTCAAGTCTCAGTACGGGCACACACACTTTTTCCAGGTCATGCCTTCTACATAATAACGTTCACCTGTTCGTCTGTGAAGTGGGTACAATGGGAACACACTGGTCCATAATTTTTTCATTGTGGTGTTAATCACATCTTATGAAAGGATGTGTGATCCACGAGGACACCCCCCCACCCGCACCCCAACCCCCGAGCTTAAGCCTTGCTGATGCTGTTGGGAAAATTCGAAAGTTTCCCCAATATCAAGAAAAGAAAAAAGAAAAGAAAGGCGGGGTGGGGGAGGATCCTTCGGCTCACGGATACCTCACCCTGGCTTCTCTCTTCAGTGTGTACAAAGAAAACAATGGTCTGTCGGTTTACGCCTCACTGGCATAGGAAGGAAGCCAAGTTTCAGAAGTTCCAAGCACACGGAAAACTACACTACGACCCCGTCGGGTGGAAGCCATTAGCCTCTTCCAAGTGGAAGAAAAGAGAGGTTCGGAAGTCTGCAACAGGTGGCGGGGCCTCCCGACTTCGAATCCCGCGCGCGCCGGAGCCCGGCTCCCGTGGTGCCCGGCGCCCGGCGGCCCCCGGCTCGGTCGGAGGCGCCCCTCGTGGGGTCTCACCTGGCTTCTGGGGCGCGAGACCTCGGCAGGTAGCGCTGGGCTCGGCGACGTCCGGCACGGTCTGAAGCCCCGTTCTACCGCAGGGCCGCCGGTCGCCGCTCACACTCCACAGTCTTCCAAAGCCCGCGCTGCCGTCACGTGACCTGCACGCCACGCACAGCCTTCTGGGGAGGGTAGTACACTGCCCGCCCTTTCGGAGTCCGTGTTCACGGCATTTACTTCGGAGACAGCTGATTCTCTCGGCGATCCTGTCCTACCGTTTCCCACCGCCTAATCCCCGCTCCGTCTACACCAGGTAGGCCTCCACAGCCCCAGCTCCAACCACACCTAGAAACTCAGGACTACAATTCCCACAATGCCACTCGCGCGAGACACTTCCGCTTCCAGCTAGGCTAGGCGCCTGCTCCTGCCGACGTGTTCTTCCGGTGGCAGAGACGCAGCTTCCACTGAGCAGGGCAAAATGGTGAGAGGGCTGAGGGAGTTCCCGACGGGGCTGTGGTCCGCGACTACTGAGCGTCCCACCCACAGCGCGTTGTTTCGCGGAGGCCCCAGACGGCTTCGGAGGGCGGGATGCTGCTGGAACCCCCCGGCTTGAGCTGGGGTGTGGGGCGGGAAAGGCCTGGGACTCCTCGGGCTGAAATTTACATCGCCCTGAGTTTACCGTCTTCGGGACTGTTAGGGTGAGGGGTGTGCGAAGCTCTGTAAGTCCCTTTGAGTTTGTATTTCTGGTTCCTGTGATCTGTGATCTCTGTCTGGAAAGATTCCCCTGTTGAACTCGTACTCATCCTACAAGGTCCCGGGCAAATGTCATTTTTTTCGGTGAGGCACTTGGCCCCGGTCTCCTAGGATCGCCCAGTCTGCAGACTTAGTGCCACGTTTCATGGACTTCTTTGTGATCTGCCACGCCTCCTAGTGACTACCGTCCGACGTGCCTGTAGCTCTGGGATGATGTCTATTCATCTTTGTATTCTCAGTGCCAAACACAGGGCCTGCAACTGGGAGCTCAATAAAGGACAGCAATTGTCTTTATCGCTTTGAGGGGGGTCAGGGGGACATAATTGTTTACTGAATTGAATTCTTGTGTCTCTTAGAACAATGGGGTCCATTTACTTCTTGTAGAGTTGTTATGTTCTGGATTTTCACAGCATTGGCTGATGGGTGACAATGAAAGCTAACATTTGTACAGAACTTTACGTTTATAGCCCTCTTTCACAGGCATTATCTCATAATCGATTTGGCAACCTTAGGAAGGAAACAAAAACAAACCCCTATTGAGCAAACTACTCTATACCAAGCATTGAACTCGATGCGTCATTATTCATCATCTTTCTTAAATCATACAGCAGTCCTGTGAAACAGACTTTATTATAACCACTTTACTCAGACTCAGATGATTCAGTAGACACAGAATTATTTTTTTTTTAAGAAGAGGTTTATTTTAGCTCCCAGTTCCAGAGATCCAAACAGTGGAAGAACATCTGCAGTTGGCCTTGATGGTAGAATCTTGGATGGTGCAATGCATCATCACATGGCAAGAATTGTGGAGTAGGGCTGGGAAGGTGGCTCAGTGGTAGAGTGCTTGCCTTGCATGCCTGAGGCCCTGGGTTCGATTCCTCAGCACCACATAAGCAAAAAGAAAAAAGCTGGAAGTGGTGCTGTGGCTCAAGTGGTAGAGCGCAAGCCTTGAACTGAAGAGCTGAGGGACAGTGCCCAGGCCCAGAGTTCAGGCCCCACGACCGGACCCAAAAAAAAAAAAAGAATTGTGGAGTGTGCCACATCTAGAGTAAGAATTTTAACTGATGGCTTTTGCTAGTAGATCCTAAGATTCCATAACTGTGTAGTGAGCATTGTGCAATTGAATTAGAAGTGGTCATCTGGGTGTTGGTCTAGGCTCTGCTTTACAGCAAGGATAGTAGCGTGGAGTTTGTAGACATGGATGCATAAAGCTCTGGAAATGGTAGGTACGGTGTGTGTGTGTGTGTGTGTGTTGTTTTTGCCCCAGGCAGAGTCCATACCAGAGTCCATACCATCTATCACCTTTTCATAGTGGACATTGGGCTCCAAAATTGCTAAGGACCATTGATCTGCAGCTAACCACTTGTGTCAAAGCCTGTGATTCCCAGCTGTCTCTTGTCTTATACCACAGAGAAGGTGCCACCTCTGCTTCAAGATACCATTGTCTTTGTCATTCCAACAATGAATTGCTCGATGTCTGTTCTTAAAGGAATCCCACATTTCCCAAACTGAAATGAGCTTCTGGCCGTCCCAGCGGCACAAGAGTGCTCCAGTGTCCTCGGATCGAAACCATGGGATTCTGTGACAGCTCTGATCTGCCCTCTCCTAGGAGCTCGAGGCCATGAGCAGATACACCAGCCCCGTCAACCCAGCTGTCTTCCCCCATCTGACCGTGGTGCTTCTGGCCATTGGCATGTTCTTCACTGCCTGGTTCTTCGTGTATCCTTTTATTGAGTAGTCAGTGGGCCAGAATCAGTGATGTGGGAAGCTAAGGAAGAAACCATGTGAAGTCCATGGGCCCTGCTAGTTTGGTACATTGGGGTGGAGATGGGAGAAGAGAAACAGATGGGTCATGCTCTTACTTGTCAAGTTCGAATGAGCTCAGTTTGCTCTTCAGACTTCAGTGAGCTGAAGGCTGGCCTAGAGGAGCTGAGGCTGGAATAAGGAAGAGTGTGCTCAGGGCTGGGAATGTGGCTTAGAGTACTTGTCTCGCATGCATGAAGCCCTGGGTTCGATTCCAAAGCCGGAAGTGGCACTGTGGCTCAAGTGGTAGAGTGCTAGCCTTGAACAAAAGAAACTCAGGGTCAGTGCCCAGACCCTGAGTTCAAGCCCCAGGACTGCCCCCCACAAAAAAAAACAACAATATGCTCAGCTGTCCGCATGTCTGAAAGCTTGTCCTGGCTCCACCACCCATGAGCTGTATGACCTGGGACCAGTGACCTTGCCTTTGGGGGTCTGATCTCACAGATGATGATAGTATGGAGTACCAGCTCTCAGGTTATCTCTTGGCTATACCAAACCAGACAAACCTCTCAGAAAGCCTTCAGCCTCTATTTTATAGAGGTGTTAGCAGACAACCTCCTGCATCCGCAGTCCATCAGTGCTTTTCCTTAGCAGCCCTGCCCAGTTATGAGGTTACCTCCACCAAGTACACTCGGGATATCTACAAAGAGCTCCTCATCTCCTTGGTGGCCTCACTCTTCATGGGCTTTGGAGTCCTCTTCCTCCTCCTCTGGGTTGGCATCTACGTATGAGCCCCCACGGTGAGTGGTGACAAGGTGGTACACGCTGGACCCTGGGGTACAGCCCTGAGAAGCCTCCCCGAGCCACAACTCAAGCAGGCTCTCACCTGCAAGACTTCATAGTTCATGGTCCAGACTCACTGGCATGGATGGTGACCCTGGGCACATGTGCTCTTTCCCTGCCCCGCATGCACCTGTCAGCCTTGTCCAAGGAGCATAGGATCTCAGATAAAGAAGTGGGAAGAAGGGGGTCTTTGGGCTCATCTGGATACTCCTGCCTTTTTACAGGTACCCACCAGATGGCTTCACTGAATCCCTGCTTTTGTAATTTAATTTTTTTACTGTTGCTGGAAGGGTCCCACCTGCTGACTCCAATAAAAGCAGATGTGGGACAGTCCTATCTCCTGTCCTTTCTGGGTGTCGGTGGGTTGGTCGGGCCCACAAGACTGTCCCAGACCCACCTTACACGTGTGGGTCTGTCTCGGGGCAAGGGCTGCGTGGCTGGGATATCTGGTCACTGGACTTTAAGGCTTACTTGTTGATAGGAAAGATCTGGGCCTACCTACCCTCTTCAGTTGTTTCTGTGAACATCTGTCAGTTTGTGCTGGGCTAATCTCCTTAGAGCCCCACCATCCTGCTTCGGGTTGAATGACTTTACTAGGCTCAGTCCTGAGGCTGCTTTTCCATGGGCAGACAGGTGGTCCATGGCAGGAAAGGTATGCCAAGGAGAGGTGGCTGGGGCACGGGTCTCTGAATCCAGTCCTGTAATGAAGCTCTCCAGCCCCTCAGGTGATGCCCTCTCGCACCAAAGCAATTGCAAGAAGAGAGGACGCGAGCTCAGATACAAAGCAGTATTTATACATTTATTTATATATGTATATTCCTTCAGAAAAGGACAATCCAGGGAGACAGGGAGCAAGCAGGCCTCGGCTTTCCTCTGCCCACCTCAGAGTCAGACTGGGTACGTGATAAATATGAGTCAGCGCTGGCTCAGGGAGAAGCCTGGGAGTTAGGGGCGCTCTGTGCATGCACGCATCACTAAGGGGATGTGTGGGCAGGGGCTCTGCTGGGAAGCCTTATGTACAGCTTGAAGCTAGGAGGGAATTAGCCCAGGGCCTGCAGGAGTACATGCCAGAGAGGAGAGAGGAAGGGAGGGTGGCCAGGGGGACCTCCGGAGGGCTGGCCCGGCAGATCGCCTCCAGCCGGTGGCCCCTCACCTTCCCTGAAGCCCTTTTATACCTTGGGCTTAAGGCAACTTTGGTCCAGGGTTGACCCCCTCAAGCAGCTTGGAGCCCGGACTTGACCCCAATTCTTGCACTGAGGACCCTTCCTCAGGCATGGCTGAACAGCCAGCTGCCATGGGACCCGGGCTCTCTGTGTCCAGATGGACTCCAGGGGGCAGCGGAGGGTCACTTTCCAGTTAAGGACTGAGGGGCTGCAATCCAAGAACACCCCTCTAGTGAGGAAACCCCATCATCCGGTTCGTGGACATGGGGTTAAGCAGTTGAAGGCACTGTTGGCAGGAGGCACGGGAGTCGTACAGTTCCTATGGCAGAAGGAGGTGGCGCCACGTGGGGGGTACAAGGCTGCAAGGGAACCCTGCTGTCCTTGAGCCCCTCGGGAGTTTCCCTGTCCTGAAGATAAGTGCTTTGAGATCTGTGGCAGAAGAGGGCCCCCAGCTCCCACTCAGAGCAGAGAACGAGAAGTCGGAGAGCAGCAAGGCCTCGTTCCCAAAGAGATGGCAAGACATCCACAGGGCAAGGACGGCCACTCCCTGGCCCGCTTCTGACCCCAACGCAGAGGTGGCTAAGTGACTGCCACGCTCTCCTATGAGCCTGCCTGTGGCCTCAGAATGTTCTGGGGCCCTGGTAAGGAAATGGTGAATGAAGTTGGCACTTGATAAGAAACGTCTTCCTAAGCCGAAACCCACCACTCTGCTCCTGGCAGAGGTGGGCACTGTTGAGCCTTTCCAGCCTGACTCCAAGCCTAGCAAAAGGTGCCTCTAGATTTCGGAGACAAGGTCACTGGCAGGCCAGAGTGGAGGGAGAAGCCAGCCTTGCACTGGGATGCAATGGGTGGCCAAGGTTCCTCGCAGGGACCAGTGCTGCAGCCCTGTCGTGGTGGGTGTCGCCCCAAAGCTCCAGCCTTCCGCCCCTTCTGGCCCTGGTTTAAGTGCATTTAGTGATGACCTCATTAATGACAGTTATTTGCATCCACCCACCAGCCCAGGCCCGGCTGACTGCTTGCAGGGATTCCTGCTCCTCTGCTCAGAGAGAATGACGGGCCACAGTGCGCTCTAGGAGCCCCCAGGAATGCAGGTTGTCCCCTTTGAGGACATGCCAAGTTCAGGGTGCAGGGTTTACCTGGCTTACTGCCTCCCTCCCCTGAGGCCTGCACAGGACTGGGGGTGGTTTCATCAGGCACAGTCGTCTCCAGCCCTGTGGGGCTGATCTTGGCTGCCCTGGGAATGCCTGGGACCAAGCTCTTAAAGCTTAGAATGCCAAGTCTAGAGTAACAGTCAAACCCAAAAGGTCCACTACCCAGCCATCCCCTGGGGAACAGCACCAAGGGCTGTCTGTTCAAGATGGACTCTGGGGTCCAGCCAGGTCTTGTAGGGGTGGGCCCAAGTTCCTGGCGGGTCTTTCCTCCCACCTCAGAAGCGGAGGCAGGGAGGGTGGATCCTAGTAAGTCAGGGCCACAGCTGCCCCCTGCCCCCTGCCAGCCAGTGGGTCTAGACCTCCTGGGTAGAGGTGGTGGCAGGCAGGCTCAGGACATGGATTATTTGTCTCTCCCACTCCCTCTCATCGAGGGCCACCAGCAGGCACAGCTGCTCCAGTGTGAAGACTTCCAGTTTCCCCAGTCAGGGAGGTCTGTGAGGGCGAGCGGCCGAGAGCTGGGCAGCCGCAGGCTCCAGTGTTACACCATGACATCCAGTGTGGAGGGCAGAGACCTGGCCCAGTACGCATGCGCAGCTAGTCACAAAGGCGGTAGAAGTGGAAGTAGTAGTCTGTGGCTGGCTGTGTGAGGGCTTCTGAGCTGCAGTTGGCCTGGCCCTGGGTGGAAGGGCAGTGGGACAGGTGAGGTAGCTCTAGGGGTACAGGTAGGTGACCCTTCTGTTGATAAGCCTTGCCCTAGACTCTGCAGAGCCCCCGTACCTTTCCCCTAAGCCCCACCCTGCACCCAGAGACCTTGGGGCAAGGTGGCCATGCTCACCAGCAGTGCCACTCGGAAGTGGTAGGTGAATTCACGGAAGGACAGGATGGTTACTGGCCACTGATGGCAGGTGCCCTGGAGAAAAAGGCGGGGGGCGGGGGGGCGGTCAGAGCACTCCTGGTCCCATCCCAACCAGCATCCTGCTCACTGGGATGTGCAGTGTGTTTATGTGAAGAACAAAGTGCTACAAAGAGGACAGGATGATGTTCTGCTTTGTGGAGCAGCAGCAGCCACATTCTGCGCATACACCTCGTACCGCCAAGTCCACTGTCACCTTCCACTGTTCCCTCACCCCTGTACTCCTGGAAGTACCTCATGAAGCCTGTCTTTACAGATAAGGAAACTGAGTCACTTGTCTGGGGAGATGTAGGGCTAGAGTTCAACCCCAAGCCTGTCTGTCTCTTCCTGGTAAAGTGGCTGGCCTGCCCCCGACCTGAGACTTCGGCTTGGCTCTGCTATGTGGGTTCAGATCCAAGCTCCATGTCTAGCAAGGGGCCAGCTGGCAGCCCCTCTACTCTTTGTTCTCCCTGCCTCTGTCCTGCACTCCATTGTAACTTGTTTTTTTACCAAGATTTTTGTCCCTCACTAGAAAACACATTCCTAGAGGCCAATACCCAGATGTGTTTGTTTCACCTCTGTATCTGAGCTGGAAGCACAGGGCCTGAGTCAGGCCTCAATGAATACTGACTCACCAAATCCTTTACCTCCTGTAATTAATCCGATGGCCTTTTGGGCTAAGGAGAAGCCAGAGTGTCCAGGTTGTAAGTGTGGCCAGTGGGGAGCCTGGACAGTGCTGGTCCAGCCTTCCAGGAGGCAGCCCTCTGCTGCGGCCTGAGGGCTCTGCGAACACTGCACCTCTGCCCGCCTTCCCTGGCACCCACCGCCTGGGATACCAGCAGCAGCTCTATCTCCATCCTTGCACTCATCACACTAGCCCTCGCGAACTGCCTTCCTCCCTGGGGATCTGCCGTGATAGAGATGCTCCTGTGCCACCAACATGTGTCTACACCTCCCTTCCTTAGGCCAAGGCCCAGGCCTCAAGGGCCCCTGGCGGACACCCAGCTCCCTCTCCTCAGGCCCTGAAGACATCGTTCAGGAAGAGGCCTGGCCGGCCTGTTCCCCAGCCGCCCCTACCTGGGTGTCCTGGTGGGGGTGCAGAGTCTGCAGAAAGCCCCCCTCCTCACATGGCTCCTCCTTTGCCGTCAGACTGCACAGCACCACGGACACGGGGGAAGAGGCGCTGGGGAAAGGCCCAGATATCAGGGAGTGGGGCTCCTGAGTCACCCCAACCCCATCCCTGGAATGAGTACCACCCAGCCGGTAAATCACACGGAACATGAGGCCTGGGGCGGGACACAGCCCTGCCCTCCCCACCCACAGCCATGGAACCACAAGGCAGCATCACAGGCCAGGCCCACCATGTAGCAACAGGCTGGACTCTGATAGGCCTTTCTGTGGCTCTGGGCGGGGCCTCTTCCCATTCTCCTCCCTCCATCCCCTCTTCACTTACTTCATCTGCAGGGTCAAGGTGAGGTGCAGTGGGGTGCTGCTGCTGACAGGGATGTGGTAGGTGAAGTTTCCCGGCCTGAAGGGGCAAAGATGGGGGCCTCAGCCTCCATCTGCACTGGAGCCTTTCAGATGACCAGAAAGGGGCTGCCCTGCCTTGTGGGGGGACTCCCCTGAGGGCACAGGCTTGTGTCACCTGAGGCCTCTCTGGAGGGACAGGAAGGAGCCAAGCCTACCTGCAGTGATCCTCTGCTGTGCAGTACTGGGAGGTGATGGGCATGGAATTCTCCAGCAACTGGATGGAGGTCAGGGAGGGCACTAGGGCTGCAACAGCCAGGAAGGGGACAAAACGGGACACACACACAAAATGTCAGGTGTTTTCTCACAAGACTTGGATCAGACACTTACACCTTAGTGTGAATAAGCACCAGGTTCTTTCTAGACCACCACAATGTCTGGGGTCACTGCATGTCCCTTTTTCAACAGCCCTAGAAGCAGGTAGTTGCCATGAGCTAGAGGTATGCCTCCTCCTCAGAACCAGAAGGCTGGGAATCAGGAAGAGAGCTTTACGTCCCTGGACTGTGGTAGGTGGAAGTCAGTTCATAGACCTCTCTCTGTTCCTGCCTGTGCTCACTCTCCAACTCTAGGTTCAATGGTGGTACCTTGGGAGTCTGAGGGACTCAGCCAGGAAGGAGCACTGCAGACAAATCAGGCTGTTCCCTGCCACACAGCCCCCTGGAACATCTACCAGCCCACCCCTGCTAGTGTCCTTCACCGAGCAAACCCCCCAGCTTGGCTGGCTGATGTCAGACTGAAGCATGCAGTGTGAGGTGAGGCGGGGAGGCGGGGGTTTCTTGTCCATCTCACTTCACCCCTGGATTTGCTGCCACCTGACTTCTAGCTGGGAAGGTAGGACTGCTGGCCTCTGAATAATTGCTGGATTCAGCACATTTTCAGCTCACTGAGGCCCAACCCAAGGACCCCAAGCAGGACCCAGAGTGCCTGAGCTGAGCAGCTAAGGGCAGGTAGCAGACACAGATGAGATGGAAGGTGCCTGTCCCACTTTGGGGCAAACCTCCAGTGTCCTTCAAAGAGCTCCAGCGGCACCTCCTGTAAGGCAGCCTTCCCTGGTCCCCTCCCTCCGTGGTCTAGATGACATGCTCTCCCCACTCCCAAGCCAGTCCCTGCACATAGCCTTGTCCTGCCATGGAGTCATATCTCCATCTGTGCGAGCTCTCTGGGGCAGGGCCACATCTCCGTTGACTGCTGCCAGCAGTGCTGGGCTCCCAGAAACCTCTGCCTCTGCAGCCTCTACCCCCTGCGGCTTCCCCAGCACTTTGAACTTCCTCTGCAAGCCACGAGTTCCAAGCTTTGGTTTTTAAGCCACAAAAGCCACCAAATGATGGCGTTAAGACTTGAATCCTAGCTCAGTGCTGCTGGCTAAGGGGCTGGTCCCTCTGCAGCCCAGGCAACCTCCGTGCCTCAGGAGGCCAGTCTGAACACTTCTACAACCAAGTCTTCTACAACCAAAGGTTGGAGCCAAGCGCTGGTGGCTCAGGCCTGCAATCCTAGTTCCTCAAGAGGCTGAGATCTGAGGAAATAGAAAAGTCCTTGAGACTCTTAAGCAAAAGGCTGAAAGTGGAGCCTTGGCTTTAAATAGTAGAGTGCCAGCTTTGAGAATAAAAAAAAACAAGTGAGAGTGCAGAGTTCAAGCCCTAGTACACACACACACACACACACACACACACACACACACACACACACACACACACAGAGAGAGAGAGAGAGAGGCTGGAAAAGCTGGGAGGACCTGGGACAGCACTTTCCTCTCTGGCACAGTGACAAATGAGCCAGGGCCAGGTGCTTGGCTGCTGCTTGGACAAATCCACCCCATGGGTCTCTGTCTGTGTCCTCACCTGGACAATGACAATTCCTTTCTCAAAGTGGCTGAATAGAGCAACATTAGGCTCCTGCCTGATTCCTGGCGTTTAGTACACGCTCAGTAAAGGTATGCTGACTGCCAGTTCTGTGCTCAGGCAGCCTGGTGACTGGGCTGAAATGGGGCCCTGGCCACTGAGCCCTGCTAGGCTGGGCTGGGAAGTGTTGGGGTGCAGTGTGTACCTGGCTGGGCCTGGGTCTGAGTGGGCAGAGCAGAGCCAGCGCTCGGCTGGGGGGCTCCTCGGCGGGCCCGACCATGGAGACCCAGGCTGGGGCTGTTCTTGGCCTTGCCTGGTCCCCCGGGGAAAGGGACTGCAGGGCTCGCCACAGGCTCCAGGCTCTTGGGATGCTTGAAATGGCCAATGCCATTGGCTGAAATCCCCCAGGACTTGGCTTTGATGTTGGTGACGGGCAGTGGGGCCATCTGGCTGGAGCCTGTGAACAGAACCAGAGACAGGCTGAGAAGAAGGGGTGCAGCTGCCTTCTGTCCAGCTGTCTTTGTGAACCCCATGTGTCTCTTGGTCTTCTTAGGGAGACTCCTCCAGCTTTTTTCCAGCCCACATTCTGGTCTTTAGGAGATCTTCCCATCAACGAGTCTTTGGGGCCTTTCTCTGGTTGCAGGTGACCCGAGGTAGCCATACCTGAGTGGTTGGTGGCAGGGCTGGGGCTGACGCTGGGAAGCAGGTTAAAGCTGGGGCCGAGGCTCGGTTCCGAGGCAGGGCTGGGGGTGGGTGCAGAGCAGCAGACAATAGGGCAGGGGTGGCTGGAGCACAGGTCCAAGGTGCGGAGAGGCGGACTTGGGGCTGAGCTGGTTGGGCTGGTGGTAACTGAGGAAGCCAGCGGCTATATGAGCTGGAGGGGAGCAGCACTGTGCCCACCAACAACAGAGCCGCCCATCCCACCCCATCTTCAGCCCTCAGCCCTGTCCAGGCACACACCCAACAGCAAGGACGGCTGTACGCCTGGGAGCCCGGTGGTCACAGGAGACTGTCGGAGCTGAGTGGCTCCAAGGCTCTGGCTGGACCTGCTGGGGAAGGGTGGGCTGAGCTCAGAGAGGCTGGGGGCAGGCCTGGAGTCCCAGGGATGGAGGAGGAGGTAGAGGGCAGGTGGAAAGGAGGCAGGAAGAAGGGCCCAGGAGTCAGAGGAGGATGGGTAGTGGGTCAGACACATACCATGGGCACATGGCCTCACTCCCCCCAGGGTGCTGGGGCCGGAGCAGGGCCAGAAGACAGGAAGTAGACACGGCAAAAGAGCTAAGGGGCAACAGAGAGACCAAGAGGGTGACAGGCCAGGGAGGAGAGAGAGAAGATGCAATCAGAAATGGTCCCTGCAGCTGGGAGTAAACAATGGTAGACAGAGCCTAAGGTCCTGCCCAGGGCCACCTTCCCTGTACCTCTTGTGTCTATGAGAGCCCTCCAAGATGGCCTGCCTGGAGGAGCAGGCCACAGGGGGACTGGGATTGGCTGCCCAACCTCCAGGGAGATCCTCCCTCCCACCTCACCAGATCTATAGTGGGCTATGAGTGGTGTGAAACCTCTTCAGATAGCATCATGGTGCCCGTGGCCGGCCCTAGACTGCCCCCCCAAAGCCCCACCTGGCCTCCAGAGACATACCCATCTGCATCCACCAAGTCCTCCTCAGCACGCAGGCTCAGCACATACAGTGTGGACATGGACACCACGCTGGGAGCCACAGAACAGGGTCACAGTCAGAGCTGGAGTGGCCCTCCAGCTCCTAGGGCCCCTGTGGTCCTGAGCCCCAGGCGCTGGGCTCTCAGCTGTGAGTGGATCTCCCCATCCCGAGAAGGGGAGACACGAGAGGGGCAGTCTACCTTCCCCAGCCCTCCCCAAACCACCCCTACCCGCCCCCCCCCAGGGCCTGACTGCGGCTGACCCCACTGGGCAGTGCTTCTGGGGAGCTAAGTCACCTGAAGGCCATGACCACCACCAGGGCGATAATGGTTCCCTGCAGGAAGCGCTGACTGATGCAAGCCTGGTCGGGGACTACTGAGGATGCCTGAGGACCCAGAGGAGAAGAAAAGCAGAAGAGACAGATTTAGGGTGCCTGCTGCTCCACCCAAGCCTAGTGTCATGTTCCCCGAGGTGAGGCAGAGAGGAGGAGGCAGAAAGAGGCTAGAGGGCATTGGTGAGGCTGCAGAGGTACCAGCTGGAAAGGGAAATGGGGAAACACCAGTCCTCTCTGCCCACCCCCCTTTACCTTGCTGGCCACTTTGGGGGGCCTCTTCTTGTGGGGAACGCTGCCTGCTCGGCTAAATTGGCTCCCTGCGTGACTGCAGCAAGAAAACCAAGGTCAAAGGTGCCTCTGAAAAGGGGGGGTCTCCCCCCTTCCCACTCCAAGCCAGGCCCCCACCTGAAGGCGCTGGAGCTGCCTGTGGACTTGAGGCTGTCTAGGCGCCGCAGTTTGGCCAGCCTGTGGCTCCAGCGCTCCAGCTCGTCGATGCGCGTCTCTAGGTTGTCTGTGAGCTTGCAGAGCTCCTTCACAGCCCCCACGTTCTCCATGAAGATGCGCTCCTGCCGGGATGATGGGCTGTCAGGGCTCGCAGCCTGGGAGCCATCGGCTGCAGACTGTCCCACAGCCACAGAAACCTGATCTGGGCATGGGCCTCTCCATCCCGGCCCTACAGAATCCCTCCTGCCCAGGCCGTCCTGACTGCCTGAAGAACCCCACACTTCTTTTGTCAGTCTTGGGGCCTGAACTCTGGGCCTGGGCACTGTCCCTTAGCTCTTCAGCTCAAAGCTAGTGCTCTACCACTTGAGCCACAGCATCACTTCCGGCCTTTTCTGCTAATGTGGTGCTGAGGAATTGAACCCAGGACCTCACTCATGCTAAGGCAAGCACTCTACCATGGAACCACCTTCCTCCCCCCCCACCCCCCTCCCACTCTTCAGAGCCAGAGCGCTGCCCTTCAGAGCCTTGGCCCTGCAACCGACCACCTCTGGGCCACCTTTTTGGGCACTTGACTATTTGGGAGGGTGGAGAGGGGGGTAAAACAAGTCCTATGTCTCCTGGGTGCACAGTTTTGTGCCACATAAGGGGTGTAGTCGGGGGGGGGGTGAATTCAGTGGCGGTGCACTTGCCTGGCACGTGTGAGGTTTGATCCCCAACATGCCAGAAGATAAATACACCCTACATTCAGGCCTTGAGACCAAAGTGTCAATGTCTTATTGACACGTGGGGCGGGGAGGGGGTGAATGACCTTTAGCTCGATCCCTATTGTTCTCAACCTTGAATGTTTGCCTCTTCTTCTGTGGGGGCAAGGAGAGGGGTCCTCCTCCACCACAGTGCCCTTGGGCCCCTTCTGTTCCCCATCCAGCCCACCTTGTTCACTACCAGGAAGTTCTCTATGGTTTTCCCATTGGCAAAGACCACGTCTCCTGTGTCCTTCACCGCCTCCGGCAGGATCTCCTTCACCTCCTGGGCGATGACACCTGGGGAGAGACCCACCAGGGGTTGGGTAGGGGCTGTCCACAGCTCTCCAGAGTAAGAATGGGGTGGTTGGTCTGGAGGGTTGGGTCTTGGAACCCTGGAGCTGTGGGGCTCCCTCAGACAGCCCAGCACCCACAGGGCCAGGCTTGGGGCTCCTGGGTCAGGTAGGATCCTGGAAGTAGGGGTCCTAGGAGAAGGGACAGGGTTCTGGGAGGATGGAGGCAGGATTCTGGGAAGTAGGGCAAGCAGGGCAACGATCTGGGGCCATGGTCCTCTGTGCTGGTCAAGAGGTGAGGTTCCAGGACCTGGTGGACGTAGTTTCCTAGGGACTTCTAGAGGCAGAATTCCAGGGGTCAAGGGACAGGGTTTCTGGAAGCAGGGTTTCAGGGGACAGAAGGGCTAGAGCCTGTGGGCAGAGGCCCAAGCTCACTGGGTTTCCAGTCCCCAACCCACACCCAGCAGGTCCCTACCAGTCTCTGGTGTGGTGGCCTCAATGCCTGCGCTGGCGGCAAACTCGGGCTTATATCTGTAGTGTACCAGCCGCATGCGGGAGATCCTCTTCAGCTGCTCTGTGGTGTCCACCTGCCAGGAAACCAGGCCCAGATCGAACCCTCCCTCTCGAGGTCATCCTGAGCGGGGCCCCGAAGGGAGGTAAGTGGGGGACTATACTGTGCAGGGGAGATCCTGCTGCTGGGATCACAGGATGAGCCCCAAGGGCAGCCTCCCCTACCCCTACCCCGGCAGCTGTCCTTCCACCCCGCCCCGCCCCTTCTGGAGCCCCGCCCCCACCTCCTGCACGTGCTCCTTGGCCCGCAGGTCTGAGGGGTGCATGAGTGAGCCCATGACCTTGACGTTGCCATGCACAACCAATGCCTCGTCCGGTCGATCGGTGTTGATGCCCACTCGGCCGTGGTGGAAGACGGTGTCGGGCACCTGTGCCCGCTGCCACAGCACATCACTGTCGCTCTCAAACTGGCCCGGATTAGAGGCCTAAGACAAGTTGGGGCTGATTCAGTCCTGGGGGATCCGGAGCCTGCAGAGCCTCAGAGGAAGAACCCCACCCACCACCACCCCTCCTACTCCCGCCCAGGTCTCCTGGCTCCACCATGCCCAACTTAAGCTGTCCAGCACCCAGGAAGTGACCAGGACTGAGCCACCAACACGCTCTCCTGTGGGGGAAACATTGCTACCCACAGAGGATGACACAGTCAGGTCACAGCCAGTGACATTCAAATACTGTCTTAGTTCCCTCTGGAGAGGCTTCTGCCCTTACCCGCACAATGATGCGCTCTGAGATCTGAGCGGCCAGCGTGTAGTTCTGGTTCTGCGCATGTGCCTGGAGAGCTACCACCAGCATGAAGTACCTGGGACGTGCGGGGGGCGGGGGGGGGCGGTGGAGGGAGGATAGAGACAGTCGGTGTTCTACCCATCTACCCCCGCCACCCTTCCAGGGCCAGGTGTGAAGTAGACATGGATCCCCGTTCTCGTCCGCTTACCCCTCCTCCCCCCCCAAAAGGTGTAGACATTAACCTGGCGCCCTGCAGGAGGAGAAACCTGAGCTTCCAGTAGAGGGCAGAAATCCCCCAAGGATGCACAGTCTGGAACCCACAGAGCAGCTCCTGAGTGGAGCTGCCAGGCCTCTGTGGTCCCAACCCTAGGTCAGGGGCGAGCTCTGTAAAGGGTGACACAGGGCAGTCTGGAAGCCCTGGGCCTGGCATGCTCCTAGGTGAAATAGCTCTGGTTGCATCCTGGGGTCTGGGGGCTCCGAGTCAGAGCCAGCTGCTCACCTCTGGTCAGGGTTGGGCTTGCCCTTCTTGCGCATGTTGTTGGCGGTGGTCTCGCTGAAGTGCAGCCGCCCCACGGTCACCTTGGTGACCTGCTCAGGGGGCAGATTGACCCTGAAGAGAAGAGACAGCATGATCAGAAGGGCTGGGGGACCAGAAGGGAAGCAGCCAAGAGCTGGGCAGTGGAGGGGGACCCAGGCTGGGAGCAAGCAGTGTTCCCCTGTGACGAACCCTCTAGTTCTTAAGCTCTAGGGCAGGCCCTGTGGGCACCATGGGGATGGGAGGGGAGGGTCACTCACGTGACAGGGTTGAAAGGCCGCTTGCTCCGGTCAGACTGAGACTGCTCAATATTGATGGACTGGTTTAGGGCTTCCAGCTGTGGAAGACGGAGCCCAAAGACATCACGGCTAAGGCCCGGGGCTTAGCCCTGCCCTGGTTACCTTCTCAGCCCAGGCCTAGCTGGAACCCATGAGGGAACAGCCTCGCTTCACCAAACTTAGCCACACCCCTCTCCACCCTCCCTACTCCCCCACTTAGAGTGCACACACAGCCTCTGTACCCCCCACCCACAGCACACTACTGCGCCCACATCTGCACAACAACACAGACGTCCCCATGGCAATGATACCTCTTACAGACACACCCATTTAATTTCCTACGCTTCTTCAAGCTTGCTTCCTCCTCCATCCCCTCCACAGCTGTACCCCCCCATCTCACACCCCAGACCCCTGCCTCTGAAACCTTTTCCCCACAACCATAGCCCCACCACCTTTCCATGGGCACCCACCGAGCCATGCCAATATATATACCAGGCCCATCTGGAGACACCATGAAAGAGCTAGTCATGTCCTCAGGCAGGCCAGTGTGGAGCCTGCCAGGAGCAATGGGATGGGGTGCTGGGAAGATATCCCAGGGAAAGGGAGAGGCATGAAAGAAGGTAGCAGCTGTGGGCATGAAGGGCAGGGCACAGCTGGAATGAAGGCACACGGTAGATGAGCACAGATGGCTGCTGGCTGGGGATGCAGATTTGGGACTCCCAGGATAGAAAGGAAGCAGGTGTAAGAGGGAGAGGGCTAGGAAGCCCGGCATCTTGTCAGTACAAGGAAGAAGTGGAGCCAGGCGCCATGGCTCACACCTGTAATCCCAACTACTCAAGAGGCTGGAATCTGAGGATCACAGTTTGAAGCTCATCTGGACAGGAAAGTCTGTAAGACTTTTATCTCCAATTAACCAACAAAAAGTTGGAAGTGGAGCCGTGGCTCAAGTGGTAGAGTGCTAGCCTTGAGAGGAAAATAGAGCTCAGGAACAGTGCCTAGGCCTGGAGTTTAAGCTCTAGTACAGACAGACAGACAGACAGACAGACAGACAGACAGATACACACACACACACACACACACACACACTCACACACACAGTGGAGGACTGGGAATATGGCTTAGTGGTAGAGTGCTTGCCTAGCATGCATGAAACCCTGGGTTCAATTCCTCAGTACCACATACACAGAAAAAGCTGGGAGTCGTGCTGTGGCTCAAGGGGTAGAGCACAGAGAGGCTCAGGGACAGAGCTCAGGCCCTGAGTTCAAACCCCAGGCCCAGCAAGAGGCGGGGTGGGGAAGACTAAGGTAGGGTGGTATATAGGCACAGGCACCCCATGTGCTCCCCATATCCTGGAACCTCTCAGTGCGTGCGCATCCTGACCCTCATCTCCTTCCAAACCCCAAACCTGCCTTCACTCCATGCAGCTTCAGGTAGAAGCAGTCGAGGGGCTTGAGGCCTTCCGGCGTCTTGACGTACTTGGGCTCGCCCAGCATGCCGATGTACACTGTCACCTGGAAGTGGTTCTTCTTCTGGCACACGAAAGCGTCGTCACCCACCGAAAAGTTGAAGCCCTTGTCAGCATCCACGCGGTAAGTGAGCATAGGCCTGCGGGGGTGGCGGCCAGTGAGGGCACTCATCAGAAGGCCCCTGAAGCCCCTTGGGGACATCATACTTGGCTGTTTCCGCCTGTAACCCCCTCCCTCATGGGCGATGGGGTGAGAGGGGCTGCGTCTGCAGAACCTCACTGAACCTGACAGCTGGTTGCCATGGGAACGGTGGAACCAGGCGCCGGCTCCGCCATACACCAGCCCCAGCCCACCAGCTTGCTCAAGCCCCCAGACACCCTCATTCCGACTCCCTCTGCTCTGCCTTGTAAGGAGAGGGGCCACTTCGGGACTCCCCCACAGGCTGAAGCTTGCCATCTGTTGCTGCCAGTGTTCCGAGTCTGACCCTCCTCAGGGAACCCCCAGGTGGCAGCAGAGAGGGTGACTGCTGGCTCAGCGCATCTTCCCCCAGGTGCCCCAGACAGTTTCCAGGAGTGCCTGGAGGAAGCTGGGCAGGAAGAAGGTGCCCAGCTAGGGGAGGAGGGCTAGGGGCCTGGCCAGGGTCTACAGGAAGGCCTGGGGCCCGTACCGCTTCCCACAGGCTCAGCACCTGGCTCAGCTAGCAAAGTGTTCAAAAAGTGCCCAGGTCACACCGCCCCTCCCCACCTCATCTCTCCCCCCCCCACCCCCACCTGACCCATTCCGGGTCTCAGGGGTTGGCCCAAGAAATGTGGAGGTGACAGGAGGGGATTCTTCCCCGGGCGTGGGCAGGGCACTGTGCAAACCGCTCCCCAGACCTCCTAAGTCAATTCAGCCACCATAGGAAGCAGATACCCCCTTCCCAGCCCCGGAAGAATCCCACAGCCTGGGCGCCCAGCTCCTGGAGGCTGGAGTGGCCAAGGCCACTGTGGTGGTGAGAGGGTCACCTTGTTATGCCTCTGGCCTGGGGAAGCGAGGGGAGTGGGCAGTGGGGCCCAATGGGGCTGGGAATTGGGAACCATTGGGACTTGATGGTAGGCCAGGGATGCCCAGGCAGCCTCTGACCCAGTCTTCCCCCATGTCCTCCCTCCATAGGGAGGGGGCTGCTGGAGGGGCCCTCCCCACTCCCACTCCACTTCCTGTTACCTTTCTGGAATGCAGGAGCAGAGGGTGGAGAAGGAAGGGAGGGAGGAGCCAGACCCAACACAACCCCGCCCACCTCCTCCTGACTTGGCTCCCACAACCCGCCCTGGCAGATAGATAACCTCTCCTTCAGGAGGCTGGGCCTAGCTAGGGGTCAGGCAGGCTGAGCACCAATCCTGGTTCCTCCTAGAGGAAAGCTCTTTCTGCCCACCCTGTACCCAGGGGCTCCCAGTCTCTGATTGAGAAACTCAGTGGGGCCCTGGGATGCCCCAAAATGAGGGCTGAGGTAGTGGGGGGCGGAGCGGTCACTCACAACTCCTTGTAGTTGGCATCGTACAATGTCGCCCACTTGTTCTGCTGATGTGGCTGCCACTTGATGGACTGGTAGTTAGGGTCCAGGTAGGAGCCGCTGAGGCTATCATTGTCCTGCAGGAGACCTAGACAGCAGGAACAAACACCCACATGGGCCCAGGTGACCAGGTCCCCACCCCCCCTCCCCCAATGCGAAGGTTGGCCAACCACGTACCTGGGGAGGGTGCACCTGGTGGGTGCCAAGGCGGTGTCTGGACCCGGGCGATGCTGAGGGGCAAGGAACCAGGGCCTGGTGAGAGTGGGCCCTGGGGTGGCCAGGGTGGGGACGGGGCCCGGGCGGGGTGCGGGGGCAGGGCTGTCATAGTGCCCGGCTCTTGCTTGATCATTCCATTCAACATCTGAGCATTGAGGGTGCTGGGGGGGGATTCGGAGTGTTTCCTCTTCTTGGAAGGGTGTGTGGGGAGCCTGGGGGACAGAGGTGTGCAACATGGTGACTACCTCTCCCTGAACTTCTTTCCCACTAGGAAGTACCCACACCTCAACCTGAGGAACCCTAATTCCTTAAGCTATGCTCCCCACATGGCTGGTGTTAGGGGCCACTCTTGGTGTCATTCTTAATTGTGTGGGGGGGTGGGGCGGGAGCATCTCCAGGGTTAGAAAGAGGCCAGAGGGCCAGACCGCAAAAGCCAGGGAGGAAGACCTTCTTTGGATCCAGGTAGAGGGAGCCTGGGGAAAAACGTTCACAGCCTGCAGGATCTTTCCTTGATAAAATTTCAATCATTGACAAAGGACTGCAGCAGGCAGGTAGAAGAGCCCCTAGTGTCTGGACTGAGTGTTCAGCCCCCAGGTTCAGGTCCTGGCTCTGCCCTTCCCCTGTTCCACGATCTGAGCAAGCCATTTCCCCCTCTCAGAACCTCAGTTTATCTATCTGTGAAACAAGGCAACCATTGGCAATTTGTGGTGGCTATAGGTCCTCAGAGGCACTGCTGGGCAGTGGGAATAACTATACCAGCCTCCACCTTATCGGCAGAGCCTCTGCCCTGCCTACCCCTTGTCCTTCCACCCTGATGAACCCAGACCCTCACCCTTCCACTGACCCCCACCCCCACCTTCCCAGGGCACCGCTGCCCAAGTCTTACTCTGCTCCGTGCTGCTGCAGCAGTTGGTGCAGCACCTGGGACTGCTGGGCATGGTGGAGATCGGTGGGCACCAGACCCTGCCCCATGGCAGCGTAGGGAGGGACGGGAGGCTCAGCCTTCATGTACAGGTCCCGCTGCAGGACAGGGTAGTGAGGTGGGGGTGGGGGCGGGCCGGGCAGGTGGGCTGGAGGTGGGGGCGGGTGCTCCAAGCGGGAAGCCACTCCCACGTGGCACAGGGTCTCAGGGGTTATGGTGCGCAGGAGATGGGGGTCTGCGGGAGAGATGGGGGGGTGGACATCAGAGACTGAACTCAACTGGTTTGGGGACACTTTCCTCCCTAGGCAAGATCTCATGCTTCTGCCCCCCTCCTAAGCCATACCTGGAGGCTGGGTTGCTACAGTCTGGGGAGAGAAGCAATTTCCTGGGCAGGGGGGGTGTCTGCCCTTCTCCCCATCCTAGTCAGCTTCCCCCCCCCCAGGGCTGATCAGGCTCAGCGTTCCTCCAGCCCCAAGTCCTCTCAGACCAGATCCTCTTGCCATAGTCCCCGAAAGGACTCTCCTGGGACCCCAGTGCTGTCCTCAGTCAAGACTCCTTCCTGCAGCAGCCTGGACCCTGGCTGGGGGTGGGGGGCCTGGGCCCCCAGCCCAAGGGGGGCCTGCAGCTCCCTTTGTTCCCCAGGAGGCATTCCAGGGATGTTTTGGTAAGATAAACAGAACTCTTGACCCCTCTTCAGGCTGCAGGGAGTCAGCTGCCCACGGTCATTCTGCTCTTGACCGCCTGGGGGCTGCTGCACACCCCCCCCAGCACCCGGTAAGGTGAGGGGGCCCAGCGGAGGGCAGGTCCATGATCAGTCTGCACCCGCAGCCTTCCCCAGCTGTCCACTTACCCCCGAAGGGCGCGTCCATCATGGCGCAGGCGGCCAGGCGGTGGCATCACCAGCAGAAGCAGGGCCCGGCTCCCCACCCGCCCATGGGGAAACAATAGCCCAGCGCCGGGGAGTATTTGACCAACGATAATCTGGGCCCATTGGGCAGCTGCTGGCCCCCTCCTGCCCTTCTCCCTCCCTCCCTCGATAAGGCCGCCCCAACCAGCCCCAACCACTTTGCCAAACCCAGAGGGGGAGGCGGTGCCTCTGGCTGGACTCACCATTCACCTGCTGGGGGGAGTAGGCCTCAGAGCCAGAGTCTGGGGGTGAGTCTGGCAGTGTGCTGCAGGGGGGGCCAGAGAGAAAGGCAGTTGGGCTAGCAGCAGAGCCCCCCTAGGCTTTAAGCTCTGGTGTGTGTATGGGGGGGGGTGTCCCAGACCTTCCATAGCTGCAGTACTGAGGTTTCCTCACACCTACCTCTGGCCCGGGGCTCAACTGTAGGTAAGGGGCTTCAGAGTCCTACCCAGAATCCCCTCAGACCAAATGGCCACTGTAGGCCTGTTAGTTACCAGGTCCCAGAAGACGATCTGGAGATTCAAAGTCACGGGTCCTGGCCGAGGGGCCAGGCCTACCTTCCCTTCTTGTACCCACCAAGGCCCTTCAGCTGCCTGGAGACATGAGGCCCTTGGAACTGGACCTGGGGTGGGGTTCACTGGGTCACCAGGGGCTGCCCTGCCAGAGGCGGTGTGGACTGGGCAGGGAGCCAGCTCTGCCAGGCCTGGGATTCTTTTTTTTTTTTCTTGTAAGTTTTGTTTTATCAGTGGTTCAGGAAAAACAACAAACTCGAGCAGCCCCAGAGGTCAACACGTCCTGCACAAATCCTATGCTTGCCCAGGGAGAGACTGTGGCCACCTGGGGTTCTCCAGCAATTTGGCCATCCCTGGCTCACAGGTCTGGAGAGCCTTCCCGTCACGGCAGTGCCCAGGGAACCAGCAGAAAGGCCAGTGAGCTGTCACAGACACAGCCCTGCTCCATCACAGGCCCAGCTCATTCCTGGACAAGCCCTCAACACCGCCTGGGTGGCCTCATTTACACTGAGTTCCGTGAGGGTGACAGAGGAAAGTGTCACACCCCCTCACCACAGCTTCGAGTCCTGCAGGCTTACCCCAGGGCTGTTCAGCTCCAAGGCCATCTCCCATCTGTCCCTGCACTTGGTAATCATGGCTTTGGCCTTCTCTAACATGCCACGCCTCCAGTCCCTGGATGATCAATACCCCAAGTCTGTAGGACCTTGTATTTTGTCCTCATAAAACCCTGCCATTGAACAGGGTACAGGTGGCTCATGCCTGTAATCCGAGCTACTCAGGAGGCTGAGATCTGGGATCTTGGTTCAAAGCCAACTGAGGCAGCATGGTCTGTGACTTTTCTTTCCAATTAATTAGCAAAAATCCAGAAGGGGAGCTGTGGCTTGAATTGCCAGCCTTGAGCATAAAGCTAAGGGACAGCACCTAGGACCTGAGTTCAAACCAACACACACACACATACAGAAAATATAACAACAACAACAACAACAAAAGCTGTAACTTCTCCTTATGCCTCTATTTGGTGGTGTTTGGTTTGATATTTCAAGGCTGGGGGATGAGCATAGCACGCAGGGCCATCGCTTTACCATCCCCAGCCCTGGGATCCCTCTTTCTCCACCACCACCTACAACAAGTACCTCCCTGGAGCAGGCTTGGCTTCAGGATCTCCAGAAGGCTTTGGACAAACCCCCCTTCTCCAGGAGCCACTGGAATCCTGCCACCAGGGGTAGTCAGGACCTCCAGAGCTAGCTCCTGGGGAAGGCAGATGAGCCCACACCACGGGAGGTATTTAGCACCTAGAAAATGCTTAGTAAACACTAGGATTCGGGCTTAGGGACTGCATCCTGGCCTCCCACAGCCAGTCTACCTTCTGCTGCAGCCCCAACCAAGCCTGCCCTCCATTTCTGTCCCCCATAAGCCAGGGTCTCAATCCACCCTCTCCCCACTTAAGACTTAACTTAATTTCCATCATGACCTTGTGGAGAAAACATAGGGGGCTCCCCTATGACCTGACATAGGTCAAAGGTCATAGGTCACCAGGACAGGACACTGGCAAATGGAGCCAGAGCCAAGGCTAGGGCTAGGGCTGGCACCAGCAATCTAGGCTTCTTCCACCAAGCCAGGTCCCTGACTCTGATCCAGGAAAACCAGAACTTTCCTAAGGTCCTTGAACCATTGAGCATGAACCTGGCGGCTGCCCTGGAGTCAGGCAGGGCTGGGTCAGAGATCTGGCTTGGATTCCTTGGAGAGCTAGGGGAGGATGGGCAGGACCTGGTTTTCTCAGGACAGAGCCCTGGCTCCACAAGCCTTTTTTGGGGCAGGGGAACTGTCTGAGCCACGGCCCACATTCTCTGGGTCACAGGAAATGTCAGCTAACTGTATGGGCGAGTAGACCAGTGGCCTGTGCCTGGTGTCCCATGGTTGTGCACGCGTGTGTAAAAGGTCCTGTGGCCAGACTCACCCTCTTGCTCCCCTCTGCACACTACTTTCAGAGACTTTTTTTTTTAGGTGATGGGTCTTGAACTCTGGCCCTGGGCGCTGTCCCTGAGCTCTTCAGCTCAAGGCTGAAGCGTTCTACCCCTTGAGCCACAGCGCCACTTCCAGCTTTTTCTGCTTATGTGGTGCTGAGGAATCAAACCCAGAGCTGCATGCATGCTAGGCAAGCACTCTACCACTGAGCCACCTTCCCAGCCCCTCAGAGATTGTTTTTCTAGCATTTCTTTCAGCCCACATCCCTGCCCTGCTCTGAACACTTGTGTCTGCTGACTGCCTCAGAACAAAGCCCATGGTATCCCCTGCCTCAGCCGGGGGTCCCCCCATGCCCCAACTCCGTACAGGACAGCCTTATCCCCTAGGCTCTTTCCATCACAGATGCTGAACCCCTGAATCCTGTTCCCACCCACTTTCTGCCCGCACTCACCCTGGGGCATAGGGAGCCTTTGGCTCAGCCTTGATGGGGGGCCCAGAGCCCCCCAGGAAGGGCTTAGGAGCAGCCCCCATGCCATTGTTGTTGTTGCAGTTGAGTGGGGTGCTGTAGCTTGGGGGCGGGAGGGGGCCATGGCGCCCGGGGGAGGGTCCGCTTCCTGGGGGGCTCAGGTGGTGGAGCCCGCTGGAGCTGGGGATGGCAGGCTGCCCGTGGGGGAAGGAGGCCGCACTGGCCGGAGCCGCCATGTCAGGGAAGCAGCTGTGGGGAAGAGAGGAGGCTCAGTCCCCAGAGAACCCAGGGGGGAGCACCGGGAAAGGATGAGGACCCAGTCGGCCTCAGGGCCTGCACCATGGGGTCAGGGCAGAGCCAGGGTGACTCACAGGTCGGCAGCATCCTCCTTGCCGATGTATTCTTCTAGGATGCTGGTGTCGATGTTGGAGGGCTCCAGGGCACCGCTGATGTCATGGCCTGCAGGGTGAGGAATGGGCTGGGCTGAGGTGGCTCCCCATGGACCCCGAAGCCTTGGGCCCCAGCCTACTTCCTTCCAGGAGGAAGTCCCTCCACTCCCTCAGAAGCAAGTCCCAGCAGTATCCCAAGCCCTTCTGCCCTAGGTCTTCTTATAAGGGGCCGTGGAAGGTCTGCCACCCTGGGCGCTCAGACCCAGTACTCGCCAAGCCCTGTCCCCTGTGATGGGTTACAGGTGGCCCAGCTGTGGGTACGTGGAGGCACGAGGCCTAGTCTGGGGGGAGCACATACCTTGGAGGCCCAGAGACTAGAGGAGCCACTGCACCCTTGACTCCAGAATCAGGAATGCCTGATCCCAACCCACCCTCGGTAGGCAGGCCCACAGCCCAAATACCCCACATCGGGGAGGCAGAAGTCCCGATCACCTAGCCAGGCCTGGCATGGAGGCTCTCCCTCCTGGGCCTTCCCTGCTGGCCCTGGGCCCATGGTGGGGAGGGACTCAGAAAAGGTGGCCCAGGACTGCGGGGCATCATGAGGGAGGAGAGGGGGTGGTGCTGGCCTTTTTCTCTCCCAGGGTCACCTTGTGTGTGGGGGAGCTGGAGGGTGAGGTGATAAGGGGGCTGACGTGGGGAGATGCGTCAACCTTGATAATGGAAGGCGGCCCCACCCACGCCGCTGACCTGGGCTGGCCAGCTTCACCCAGGCAAAGGCCCGCCCATGCTCTCCTGGGATCTGGAGTCCGGGGTGGGCAACCCCAGGCTGGCTCCCCTGGGAACAGAGCTCAGACAGTTCAGGAACAAATCCCAGCTCAGCCACTCCCTGTCATGTGACCCTGGCAGGGGGGGAGGGGGGCAGGGCGGGTGGAGCCATGGTGAGCCTCAGTCTTCTCATTGGGAAAATGGGGGCATGGGCAGCTAGCACTTCCTTGGGCAGGAGAGATCTAGGTGATTTCTAGCACCCACTAGGAGCTCTGCAAATGGAATGGCTGTCCTTGCTTCCCTGCCTCCAGAGCTCTGGGGACCCCAAGCCCCCCACCCCTGTCCCCTCCCTTGGCCCCAGCTGGCATTTCAAGAATGCTGAGCCCCGCTTAGGTGATTAATGAGCAGTTAAGCCCTCCCAAGAGTCACGAGCTGCTCGCACAGGCCAGGCCCTCCTACTGACCCCCACCCGCTCACCCAGCTGGTAGCCGAGGTCACCCACCATGCATGACCCATGGCCGCACCCCGTGGAGCTGGGAAGGACCATTGGGTAGACCTACCTTCCAGTGCCCCACACCATCCTCCCTGGCAACCGCATGCCTGTTTCTTGAGCACCTACTGTGTGCTGCTTGCTTTTTGAGGCACGGGAGTTCACTGTGCCTGCACAGTACCTGCAAGCTCTTCATGTCCCATGTCACAGAGTTGTTTTTCAGTAGTGACCATGACCGTGATGGGGGGTGACAGGGATGTGGGGGCGGGTCCTAGTGACTGACAGGGCACTATTCTAAATGCAATACGCAGCTGACTTCCCAGACACCTCCATGCACTTGATCACTGTTCAGAGAGCTCAAGTCTTGCCCAAGACAGCACAGCAAAGAGAAATCAACTCCAGATACAGGGCCAGACTCTAGGGAAGAAGGTGTGGCAAGGTGAGGGCCCCCCCCCAACCTCTGCCCTGCCCACGTGGTCTGTCCCACCTAGTGGCTAGGAGGGAAGATCAAAAGCCCAAGATCTAAGAGTCAGGAAGAGGGACAGGAGCTCCTCCCCACCTCGCCCCCACCCCCACCACCCAAGCTGCAGGTTCTTGAGACTGAACTTGGAATGGAGAGTGAATGAATGATGGGCTGTTGCCGTCAGGATGCTGCTATTTATAACAGGCCCAGCCCTCAGTCTCCGGTTCCTCCTTCTCCTCCTCCTCCTCCTCCTCCTCCTCTTCCTCTGCTGGCCAGGAGCACTCCTAATCACCCCTAATCTCCCCCACGGGTGGGGGGCGGAGGTGGGGGCACAGGCAGAGGCATCCTGGGAGACCCTAACAAGAACCAGATGTGGCTGGGGGGAGGAGGGACCCTCCGTGCCAGGGGCCGGGAGGACCGAGGGGGGAGCAGGGGGCTGATGGCAGGGTGGGGGTGGGCCCAGGACTGGGGGAGATGCTGAAGGGCCTCCCAAGGCATGCTGACCCCCGCCTTCTTCTCTCTAGAAGCCTGCCTTGGAGGTCTGTCTTGTCTTTGACCCATGCTGTGTAGTTAGCCACTGGGCGGGGGGGGGGCAGCCCACCCCACAATCCACACTGGGGGTCTGTCGTAAACAGGGGCTTGCTGGAGACCAGGATTCAGAGGTGGGAGGGAGGTATAGTCCCTAGGGGACACTCTCAGGATGCCCCTCCCCACCAGGGCCAAAGTCCCGAGAATGTCACTGGATCTCATGAGGGCACTGCAGGCAGGAGGCTCAGTAGAGGCACAGGTTTACCCCAATCCTCAGGACACCCCCACAAGAAGCAGGCTGCTGAAGATGGCCCAAGGTCCCACAAACAGAAAGGGGCACCATAAGGCAGCCAACCACCAGCATCTCCACATCCTCCCTGCTTCAGACCCTCCAACAACTTCCCACCACTTGGGACAAACCCAGAGACCTTCCCTGTCCAAGGCCTGGCATGGTTGGCTCACTCCTTGAGCACAAACACTTCCTGCTAGCTTTCCTTCTGCACAACTCTCAGGAGTCCAGACCCTTCCCAGGCTAGGCCAAATACAAGCTCCACCACTGGGCCTTTGCACTTGTAACTCTCTCCGCTGCAAAAGGCAGACTCTCATTTCCTTCCATTTCCAGTGCCCCCCGGGGAAGATGCTCTGCCTGTCCCCTGCGCCTCGATTCTACTTTCCCATCAGATTGTCCACTCTTCTTCCCAGGTCATATTCCCTGGGAGGGTGAGTGTGCAGAGCGTGGCCAGTGTGCCCAGTTGGGACCATACCCTTTTTGTGGCTCATGGTTAATTTTCCTAACCAGCTCTCCTAGCAGGTGGGTGGCTTCTGCATTTTACAGATGAGGAAACTGAGGCCGAGGGTTGACACCTTGTGAATGGCTTCCAAGTCTAAGAGCTTGGCTATGTGCTCCCTCCTTTGGGGTGTAAGGATCTTAGCACACAGTAGGTATGCCCAAAGTACACCTGGAATGAGTGTGCCCAAGTGGGCAAGCTGGGGAACATGGCAGACCATGCTGGGCGGAGGGTCTGGGACTAAACAGAGCTCCTCCCATCCCGCTCCTTCCTGAGGCTGTTTATTACCTGCCTGGAACAGGAAACAGACACTGCCCCTTTCCAGGCAGGCTGGGGTCTGCGTTGGGGGGAAGTAGAGCCCTCCCTTTCTCTCCTCCTCCCTTTAAGGCCACCCAGCTGAGCAGGAGGGGTACGGAGGGGACCTAAGCCAGGTGCAGGACATGAGCAGCAGGACCCCAGGTGGTCCCTGCACACTAGACCCCTCCTTTCCTCCCCTCCTCGTGCTCATACCCCCCCCCAGCACCAGCTGTGGCTGCTGGCTGAGGCCCGGCCATTGTCCTGGGGGACGGGGGGAGGGTGGGGACCCGGCACAGTGGGAGGCTTGTGCCCTGCCCACCCCCTCCCCTGCCCCGTCAATGGGGCACTTGTCAATTCATGCCCAAACATGGCGGAAATCCCCTCTGCCACGTGGCCGTGGGCAGGGTGGGCAAAGACCTGAGCATGTAGGGGCCACAGGCCTGCTGGGTAAGTTTGCACTCAGGATGAACAGGGCATGGGGGCCCAAGCCTGGTCCTTGAGTGTCCCCTCAAGGCGTCTGAATCACAGAGGTGCCCTAGCTCCAAGCAGCCGCTGGGATCACACGCTGCCCACCTGGCACTGCTGTGCGGCCCTCAGAAAGGGACCTGACCACCCTGAGCCTCGGCTTCCTTTGGTCAAATGGAGTACATCGTGGGTGGGTTGGGGGTCCTGAGCCCAAAGGCTGCCTCTGCCTGGGCTCTATCTGTTTCTGAGTCTCTCAAAGCCCCTCCAGTTTGTCCAAGGCATGACTATACTATGCTGATCTTCTTCTAGTCTCTAGGCCATGACTCCAGATATTGTCCCCTGCCCAGTGGGTTAGCAGATGCCTGCAGTCCCTCCGCAATTACCCCAGTCACAGACAGCCCCCCACTGCTGTGGGTTGTCTCCTCACATTCACAGGCTCCTCTACAGCAGGGCTCAGAAGGGCTCTGGCCTCCCCTGATCGGGACTTTCTATCTTTATTGATGCGATCATGCCAGCAAGACTTTGCGTCTCTGCACCAAATTCTCCTCTTGGGCCCAAAAGCCATGCTTGAGAGAAGACATGGCTCTCCACTCATTGTCCCCTCAGATCTTCAAACCCAAGTCACACCTGTCTCCATTTCCTCCCGACTTCTCAACAAAATATCCAGCCGGCCTGCAGAGAGTCCAGGCTGCCTTCATGTCCCGGGTCCCCTGTCCTCAGGATGACACAAACTGACCTCACAGCTCCAAGACGCTCCCATGTCTCAGCTTAGATCAACCGAGGTCATCACCTGTGGCTGGTTCTTAGGGAACCTACACTTTCCCAGAACCTTCACTTACCTCTGGAAACCCCTACCCAAATTGCCCAAGGGGCCAACTTATATCCCCCCCACAATGCCTCTGACCCTCTGTCACAAGGCCCAGAACGGGAAGGCCACACACACGCTGTGTAGGCCCTGCCCACCACAGCGCACACCTCCACACGCACCAGGACCTCCACCCACCCAGGAGGTTTGCCTTATGTGTCAGGCAGAGAGCTGGGCTTGGGACTCAGCAGTAAATGAACCAGGCCAGACATGAGGCCCCAGGGAGCTGACACGCTAGAGGACAGATCAGATGACAAGACAGGTGAGGAGAGCCCAGGTGAGCCTGGCCCAGCCACCCCCTCCCCAAGACAGAGCTTCATAGTATGGACCAGGCCCCCCAGAAGGATTGCCCCTTCTTTTTCCCTTCCACTCCCCTCTCCACTGGCTGTGGGCAGGCCCTCTCCACTCCAGCTGCTAACAGATCCAAATGAGCAAATGGGTTTTAGGTGTAGCTATCCAAGCTACACTCCCCCCTCTCCAGCTCTTCCCTGCCTCCAACCAAAGGGGGCGGGGGCAGGGCATCAGGGGCCAATGTGGGGCTCTGGATGCATCCACCTAGGTCTCCTGTCCCACTGGAACAAGTTCTGCATCTCTGGGATGGAGGATGACATGGAGGGGACCAGAAACAGGCACCAGGGCCAGACTTGTCACAGTGCATGTGGAATGTACCCCAAAGGTGGAACGTGTTCCTCACACCCCCCAGAAAAAGGAGATCAGAAATGGGGGGTCCCTTGAAACACACAGTGCCAACTAACAGGGCCCAAGCCTGAGTCTGGGAGGGCACCATCCTGCCCTGTGGGACACAACACCTCTTGAGGCAGGGCACATAGCACAGAGCACCTGCCTCTGGTTCAGGCATCAGAGGCATAGCCAGGCTGGGCGCTGCAGGCTGCCTTATCCAATCTCACAGAAACCTCCAGAGGTGACCACTGAGGAGGATTACAAGTGAGCTCCCATTTTACAGATGAGAGGAGGAGGGGAAGAGGCTGAGCTAGCAGCGGCTCCCGCTGACCACCCAGCACAGGGACAAATCCAATCTGCTGTCTTTCCTGCGTCCAACCCACAGATCACCCACACCCAGCAATCGCGGGGACTGGAAATCTGGAGATGGGAGAGGAGCCCCTCACGGAGGGAAACTGAGGCCCAGAGGAATGGCTAGGCTCTGGGAAGGAGGAAAGAGGAAAATCAAGGGAGGCAGCCTAACTGGGCCAGGCAGGGCCACCCCAAGTTAATGATTCAGTTAATGATTTCTGCCCCAGCCTTATCGGGGAGGGCAAAGTCCAAGGGGAGCAACCAATCAGCAGCCCCCACTGGGCTGTTACCCAGCAGCCTCTGCTGCCAGCCTCCTCCCCCCACCACCCAGTGCTGTAACTCCTTAGGAGCTGAGGGAGGTGTTCCCAGGAAGAGGCCATTCTGCCTAGAGTGGCTTGTCTGTCCCCTTTTGCTTCTGCCAAAGGCCTCTCCCCAAGGATACTCTATTGAGACCCTCCCAAGAGTCAGGTTAGGCCCAAGGACAGGAGCTGGTGACACTACTCCCTGACCCTAGCTAACACTGATCTCCACAGGTGCGTCCCACAGCTGCGTCCCACAGCATACCCTCTACCCTAACACTTTGGTTCCAGTGTGGCCTCCATTGGTTGGGGCCATTTCCTGCACACCCTCTGGCCCACAGCTGGGTGTGGGGACTTGGGGACGAGTCAGACCCCTCAGGCATCTCCCCCTCGCCTGGCCCAGGGCCCGAGGGCTGGGTCTGGCAAATCAGCTCAGGGATGGGAGCTGGGACAGGAGCCCCCCTTGTCTCATCCCAACCCTGTTCCCCACTCCACTCACTTCCTCCTGGGTATACCACAGACAGACAGATAGAGAGGGTTCACACAGCCCGCCTCAGCCCACACTGCTGTAAGGTGGGAGCCTCTCAAACCATCAGGTAGCTTCCACTTGAGGCTTGGAGGCAAAGATGCTGTCCCCAACAAGTAGCCCCTCCCCTGGGCCCAGGTGGCAGAAGAGAGAGCTGGGGCCCGGTCAACTTGGGCTGACTGGCTAAGTCACCCTTCCTCTATGAGCCTCACTCTTGGCCCCTTGGAAAAAGGCTGACTCTGTACCTCACCCTGAGCAGTGCCGAGCCAGAGGTGTCTCTCAGACCCTGTTTGTGGGGCTCTGGAGAGCCAGCCCCCAATTGTCTGCCTTGTGTGTCCAATCACAGGCTATTTGTTGGATGTCTGAAAATGATCACACTGGAAACCCTCCTCGGATCCCATCCACTTCCTACACTTGCGGGGAACTGATGCCAGAGAAGGAGGTCGGCCAGGCCGCCCTTCAGACTCACTATGGGTGAGACCCAGGCCACCCCATCCAGCCTTGGGGACTCCAGAGATTGGATGGAGGGCCCCAAACCGTTAGTGGAGACCCAGCCTTCCCATCTAGAGGCTGGGAGGCAGCCCCAGAACTCAGTAGCTGTTACACCCTGGCTGCACGCCAGATTCCCAGCAGTTGCTGAGGCCCCTCCATACCCACCTGTGTTCTGGGGGTACCACTGCTCATCCCAGCCTCAAATCAGAGGCCGGCCCACCCCCTTCAGGCTCAGCCATCCCTACACTGTTCCCCCTCTTCTCAATACTGAGAGAGGGGGCTCACCAGGGCTGAAGGCACCATGACCACCTCTGCTTTTACAGGTGAGGAACAGAGTCCATAGAAGGCACAGGTTTTGCCCAGAGTCACACAGCCCTCATGGCCTTGCCAGTTAGGTGACGAGAAACACACCTATTCCTACACCCCGGTTACCTGCTGAGAGCCAGTGCATCCTGCCAGGAGGGTTCCCTCTGACAGCCCTGTGCCCGCCGGTCTGGGCTGCCCTGGCTTCTCTGGAGGGGATTAGCTGGATGGTCACAAGGGCCCGGCTGTACCAGCCTCGAGGGGGCTGCCCTGTCCCAGCCTCCCGCAAGAGGCCCAAAGCGCCTTAGTCCCCCAGTCTCCCATTACCCACCCAGCAGGCCCAGGCCCATGAGGAGGCACAGACAGCAGATCCAGTGTGTGCGTGTGTGTGGGGTCTTTGACATGATCACCCCTTCCTGTCTCCCGTCCCAGAGCCAAAAGCCTGAGGCCCTCTGTTCACAGTCTAAGTTGGAGCCACTGAGCTCACGAGGGGACGAGGTCAGGACCCAGGGGTCCCCAGCCCTGAGTATGAGAATATACGGGGTCCCCCGATGAGCTCAGAAATGTGCTCAGAAATGTGCCACATGCACAAAACACAGCTTCCTGGTCCCTCTTCTAGTTCTTTCTCAGGCTTTTGAGTTCAGCCTCAGGGATGCCATGCCCCTATTGGGACCCCACCATCCCTTCCCCCCGCCCCCATTCTCTGCTGGGCCTTCCCATTCCAAAGGGCCTGAGAGACCAGCCCTTGGTGTCTACCACCCTGCCTCCATCTCAGATGCTGTAGCCTTCCCTAGCCCAGCCCTCCTGGGCAGCCAGCCCCACACCCCACCCTGCTCCCCACAGACATTCTTGAGTCTCCTCTTATCTCTCTGGAGGGAGCAGGGCAGCCTCCCCACCAGGCAGCCGCATGGTTGAGCCGTGGCGTCAGCCCCCGCGACCCCCCTCCTTCCCGGGCAGGAGAGAAGGTTTGGCTTAGGAGCAGGGAGCCAGACCAGCCAGGCTCACCCCTCTGCCTGAGGCCCAGGTCCGGGGCAAGCAGTGTAAGGGTATCTTTAGGAATCGAGGGGATATGGCCCAGAGGCCATCTGGGTATTTTGCAGGTATCAGGCACCCCAAGTCAGTTCTCTATGCCCATCAAGGACCAGAGTCTTTGCCTTCTACCTGGGGACCCCATCCCCTTTCCCAAGGGTTCTGCCTAAAAGGTTGCTGGAGGACAAATGATGTCTGTGGAGAGTAAGAGTCCCTGGGACTGAGGGAGAGCTACTTAGCACCCCTCAATTAGCCCCGGTGCCTCAGGATCCACCATGTGACAGTCCCGGAGCAGGACAGCTGAGGCTTGGGGGTGCTCTGGCCTGGCTGCTCCACTAGCAGGAACAAAGGTTCCTACCAAGCCCTCCCCGCTACCAAGTTCACAGAGAGACTAAGGCAGAGGAAGGCCTTCCTCTCCTACCCAAGGGACTCCCCAGAAAACTGGGGACTGGACATGAAACGTTGGCCCCAATTTCATCCTGTACCCTGTTGTCCCAGTATAGCGGGGACCAGGAGAGATTCTCCCCCAAGGAAGGCTCTTCACCCACTAAGGAGCAGAATAGGAATTTAGGGACCAGGGGAGAGGATGAGGTAGGAGCTAGGATCCCCAAGATACTAGAGAGGGAGGCCAAAGGGGCCAGCAGTCCTGGATCACCATCCCAGTGGGCATCTGAGACACATAATAGGCTGGGAGACATCACCTTGCACCTCCCTCCTCCCCTCCTCCCCTCCCACACTTTCTCCCCTCCCTCCAGAGTACTCACAGAGGAGGGGCAGCCCTAGAGGAGAGGCAGGGGCTGCTCAGGAAGAGTGGGGGAGATGGTAAGACACAGGAACACACTTCTAAAACCGATGTGGGGGGTGGGGTGAAGAAAACATAATGGGGTAAGCACAGATGCCACTGTGAGGGAGGGAGGGTCCTTTCAGGTCAAGGTGAGAGCAGGCTGGGGTCGCTTCTTGTGGGGAAGAGGCGTAGCTCTCAGGACAGCTTGGGAGAGCAGCCTAAGGAGTCTCACGGGGCTGGTGGGATGCAGTTCTCAGTATTGGGGGTGTCTCCAAGAGCATAGGTAGCTGGTGTAGGGGATACCAGCTTCAAGAAAGTTCTATCCCAAGCCAGCACCGGTGGCTCATGCCTGGAATCCTAGCTACTCAGGAGTCTGAGATCTAAGGATCGCAGTTCAAAGCCAGCCCCCATTAAGCTGGAAATGGAGCTGTGGTTGAAGTGTTGAAGTGGCAGAGCTCTAGCCTTGAATAAGAAAGCTTAGGGACAGCACCCAGACCCAGAGTTCAAGTTCTAGAGAAGGCACATGCGTACACACACACACACACACGTACACACACACACACACACACAGAGAAAATTTTATGCCTAGGAAGCATGCTGGAGAGAGGTCCTGCCTCAGGTAGGGGAGGAACAATTGCTTCAAAGTGAAATTTCAGCTGGGCACTGTGGCTCACGCCTGTAATTTTAGCTACTCAGGTGGCTGAAGTGTGAGGAAAGAGGTTCAAAGCCAGCATGGACTGGAAAGTCTGGGAGACTCTTAACTCCAATTATACACCAAAGGTGGGGGTGGGGGGAAGGTCCAGAAGTGTCATCGAGATTCAAGTGGTAGAGTACCAGACTTCCTGACTTCAAACCCCAGTACTAGTCTCCGCTCCCGGCCCCAAAACCGTAATTTTAGACTTGGGGAGAAAGAGCACTGCGCATGGCCATGACAATCTCCAAGGGGGTCCCAAGCCCCGTCCCGGGGGAAGCCCCGCTGGGAGGCCATGGAGATGGGCGGAGGGGAGGCCACTACCTAAAAGGCATGCAAGGGGGTCTTGGTTTCTAGGGGGCAGGCTGGGCATCGGGCAACCAGCCTTGAGAGATGGAAGGTCCCAGAAGGTAGGCTCCAGACCACGGATGGGAAGTGTGCCGGGGCGGGGGGGGGGGGTGCGGTGTCAGCACTGAAGGTCCCAACGGGACGGCCGGAGGGAGACCGAGCCGGGAAGACGACGCAGCCCCAAGGAAGCTGCGTGTCAGGGGAGGCAGCAGAGGGGACTCACGCCTTTGCAGACCCCCGCGATGGGGGCCACGCGCGCTGCCGGCGTGGCGGGAACCACCCGGAGTCCCCTCCCGCACGACGGTGTCCGCTAGCCCGCCGGCTCTCACCTTCGAAGAAGCGCTGGAGCGCCTCCGTCTCGTCCACCACCTCCATGTCCGGCTTTCCGGGCGTGCGCTCCGGCCGCGGCCCCCAGCTACAGCCCGGCCCGGGGGCGCGGCATCGCCGGCGCAGCCCGCGCGCTCGTCCCGGCTCGGCTCCCGGCTGCTGGCGTCCCGCACGGCGCGCGGTGCGCTCGCCCCCAGCGGTCTCGGCCCCGCCTCGCTGCCCTAGCCCCGCCCCGTGCCGCTACCCTGGTCACGCCCCGTAGCCCCGCCCCGCTGCCCTAGCCCCGCCCCGCTGCCTTGACACGACCATTCGCCGCCTCGCGCTGCTGATCTAGTCACGCCCCGTTATCCTGACCACGCCTCTTACCGGTGCTTCCTCTCCCCCCTACCCCCGCTCGCCGCGCACAGCGACCCCTGCCGGCAGTTCCGCGCGGCAGGACGCGGCGCAGCCTCCAGGGGACGCTCGGGCCCGGATCCTCCGCCTGGGTTTGGGTTCTGGGTCGGCTTGGGCCAGGGCCAGTGCCCGGATGGGGACAGAAAGGGCGCCAGCTCAGCAGGCATCGCAGGCTGGGCTCAGCGGCTTCAGAACCAAACCTCAGAGAGGGTTGCCAAGAGGGTACTATGATTATCCCCATTTTACAGAAAGGGAAACGGAGGTTTAATGAGGTTAAGTCCTAGCTGAGGAATCACTGTCTGATAGAACTTTCTGAGGTGCTCATTTTTTCTGTCTAGCAGGATCATCACCTGTCACGCGTGGCAACTGAAATGTAGGCCTGGGTGCTCTCCCTTGGCTTTTTCCACTCAAGGCTGGGGCTGTACCACTTGAGCCACAACTGACTCCAGTTCTGGCTTTTTGCTGGTTAACTGGAGATAAAAGTCTCATGGACTTTCCTACCCTGGCTAGCTTAGAACCATGATCCTCAGATCTCAGCCTCCTGAGTAGCCAGGATTACATACAGTCATGAGTCACTGGCACCCAGCGGTGTTCACTTTCAATTAATTTAATTAAATAGCCACATGTGGTTACAGTATTGGCCAGTGCAGATCTGAGAATTCAAGGTCAGTAGGGTTCAGGAACAAATCCTGGTAGACTCAGGAGTCAGGGCTCTCATTCCTTGCTACCCTTGCCTGGTAAAGTGAGACATGAAGGTTTTACCCACAAGTGTAGCCCAATAAAGCCTAGGCCCTCAGTGCCCCCCATCCCCATCAAGCCTGGCTATAGCCCCTGTTCATTGAGCTGTCTACAGTCTTCCCATTTGCAAAGCCTAGGTCAGATCAGATCCTTCCTTTGCTAAAAACCACTGATTTCCATTTGCCCTCAAACACCTAAACCTCTTACCCTGACATTCGAAGTTTTGAATGCTCTGCCCCTGCCTGGATCACTAACTCCATCTCCTACTTTCATCTCTTCACTAAAATCATGACCACTGACGATTCCTAGTCATCATCCAAACATACCAAGTCCTCAACCTGCCCCAGGGCCTTGGCACATACTATTCTATCTACAATACTTGTCCTTACATGGCTGGGGTTCTTTGTAAAACCAGGTCTCAGTTCAAGTGTGAACAATCTACCTGAAACACCACTCCCAGGCCCCTCTTCCCACCTGGGCCTTTCTCCCCAGACAGATTTTTCTTTAGTAGTTCTTCTTATCCTTTTCAGTCCAGAATGGAAGGTCAGTGAGGGGAAGGGATTCTTCTGTAGGGTCACCACCAAGGAAACACTACGGGACACATAGTTCGTGCTCCATTAAACATGTGCTCAAGAACGGACAATGGTGTCAGGAAACTACAAGAATCCTAGAATGGGAAAAGTCTGGCAACAGAGACCAGACCCAGCAAATTAACCTATAGCTTCCCAGGACCTTTACACACAGCACGTTTCAGGGGCAAAGACTCACTCATGCTACCCCACCACTGCTAGGAAGATGATAAAATTGAGACCCCAGATAAGTGGGGCGCCCTGGGGAT